CACGCCGAAATACGCAGAATATGCGCAGCGCATGACAGTCACAGGTGCAGCCTGAGGCTATGCACCATCAAAATGCACGGTATGCCCAGTAGAAAATACGCAGAAAATGGGCAAGTGCAGGCTATGCACAGTCGAAAATGCACAATATGCACCAAGGAAAGGCGCAGAATATGCGCAAGTGCAGGCTTTTGAAAAAGCACAATATGCACCATAAGAAATATGCAGGATATGCGCAGGTGTAGGCTATACACCGTCGAAAATGCACAATATGCACGCAAAAATACGCAGGATATGCGCAGGTGGAGGCTATGCACACTCAAAATGCACAATATGCACAGTAGGAAACACGCAAATATGCGCAGCGCACAAATGGGGCATGTGCAAGCTATGCACCATCAAAAATCACAATATTCACACCAGAAATACGCAGGATATGCAAGGCTATGCACCATCAAAAATGCGTGATATGCACAGTGGAACGCACACAAGATATGCGCAGCACTCAATGGGCGCAGGTGCAGGGGATTCACCATTAACAATGCACGATATGCCCAGTAGAAAATACGCAGAATATGCGCAAGTGCAGGCTATGCATAGTCAAGAAATGCACGATATGCCCACTGAAAAATACGCAGGATCTTGCCCAGTAGAAAAGACGCAGAATATGCGCAAGTGCAGGCTATGCACAGTCGAAAATTGCACGACATGCACGACATGACAATGTGCACGCCCAAAATATGCAGAATATGCGCAGGGCAGAATACACGATATGCACGCCAGGAAGAACGCAGAATATGCGCAGCGCACGATATGCGCATGTGCAGGCTATGAACAGTTGAAATGCACGATATGCACGCCCAAAAGATACGCAGAATATGCACAATCAAAGAGTGCACAATATGCACGCCAGAAAGGACGCAGAATAATTGCAGCACACACACAGTGGAAAATGCATGATATGCACACCCAAAAATACGCAGAATATGCACAGCGCACAATATGCACCACAGGAAAGGCGCAGAGTATGCGCAAGTGCAGGATTTGCGCAGGTGCAGGCTATACACAGTGGAAAAATGCACGGTATGCCCAGTAGAAAAATACGCAGAGTATGCGCAAGTGAAGACTATGCACAGTCAAGAAAATGCACGATAGGCACGAAGGAAAGGCCCAGAATATGCGCAGCACAAGATATGCGCAGTGCAGGCTATGCACAGTGGAAAATGCATGATATGCACACCCAAAAATACGCAGAATATGCGCAGCGCACAATATGCGCAACTGCAGGCTATGCACAGTCGAAAAATGCACCATATGCACCACGGAAAGGCGCAGAGTATGTGCAAGTGCAGGATTTGCGCAGGTGCAGCCTATGCACACTCAAAATGCACGAAATGCATGCCAGAACATACGCAGGATATGCGCAGCGTGGTCGAGAAATGCACGATATGCACGAGAGGGAGGGCGCAGAATATGCGCAGCGCACGATATGCACAAGTGCAGGCTATGCACGGTCGAAAAATGCATGATATGCATGACAGGAAGGGCGCAGACTATGTATGCGCAGTACACCCAAGGCGCATGTGCAGGCTATGCACAGGCGAAAAATGCACGATATGCACGACAGGGAGGGCGCAGAATATGCGCAGCGCACGATATGCGCAAGTGCAGGCTATGCACGGTCGAAAAATGCACGATATGCATGACAGGGAGGGCGCAGAATATGCGCAGCGCACAATATGTGCAAGTGCAGGCTATGCACAGGCGAAAAATGCACGATATGCACGACAGGGAGGGCGCAGAATATGCGCAGCGCACGATATGCGCAGTGCAGGCTATGCACAGGCGAAAAATGCACGATATGCACAAATGCTAAGTAAATATTGACGCTATGTGGAATCGAGCAGCGTCTGGTCCAGGAAAAAACAATCCTGAATGACGAGTGGCCGTGGAATACCCCTGCAGCGTCGTCAGAAAAAGCCAGGAACCCAAAAGACCAAAAATATGCCATAATCTCGCACTGGGTGCGATTTAATCGCAGGAAATGAGCACCCAATAGGAATGGGAGTGAAAAGCGAATAAGCGCTGGAACTGAAGTGAAACCCTGGCTCCAGTCCGCAGGCCGCAGGGGGGAAGATTGTTGCTGGTCCAGAATGAGTGCTGACCGCGAAATAAGCCCTGCAGCGTAGTCAGACAACGGCAAGAGCCCCAAGGATCAAAATATGCGATAATATCGCTGTGGGTGCGATTAAATCGCAGGATTTGAGCGCCCAATGAGAGAGGGAGGGAAAACCGAATAAGCGTGCATCTGAAGCGAAGAGGCATTCGCAGCTTGCAGGGTATGGGGCAGGGGATTTTGTAGCGAGTGGGCGGCCAGAATTCGAAGGAATGGACTGGGATGACTGTCTGGAAGATCAGGGGGGTCGGCAGCTCGAAATGGGCGGAAAGGGGAGGGTTCTGAAGGCTGGGGGATGTAGATGGGGTCGTTCTAATGCCAGGATGCAGTCAACGAGCAGTGTATATGTCTAGCTGTAACTGTGAAAAGAGAGGGAAATACTCAGCTTCATGGATGGAATTGGGGTGTAGGCCCAGAGACACTCTCAAATAGCATCCAAATTTCGAGCTTGAGACAGATTCCATAGTTCACAGAGATGTATGCAGACACTGTCGAGTTCTGGGTGATAGTCAGTCATATAGAACCATAAAAGAGTGTGGAATAAGAGCGCAGAAAGGGGAATTTGTCGAGGATGAGATTGCCGGCAGGTGGGTGGAAGGAGAGAGTGAGCTCACAGCCACCCCCTGCTCTTCGGCTCTCTCCCTCACAAGATGATGCATTGATCTCCTTCTCTCACTCAATGCATCCAGATCTAGCCGTATCGATTTTAGTGTGTTTGAGTATGGGCGCGACTCGCCATGACACTTGGAAGTGTAACCGCGACGCGTCCACAATGTCCCGTGATCGAATGGATCCTGACATGTGACAAGTCGTCGTCGTGGCATGATCTGAGGAAACGTCCAACTCAAAACCGGGAGTTGCCGCGACAAGATGGTTTAAGTCTTGTAACGCCAAGTCCTGTCCAGTAGTAGTTCTATTATTGAGAACGTCGCGCATTGCTCAGCCCTTCAGCCCAAGTTCCCATCTGCAGAGAATGACCCTTATTGAGAAGTCGACGCAACGACATATCCCTTTTTGGGGAATGGTCGCGGTCCAAGCGTTCGTCACTAATGGCCCTGAGCCTGGTGTAGACTCATAAGACCAGTTCCACAGTAGTGGTCTGACTGCCTTGCTATCGTCGACACTACCCACAGTCGTCGACTGGGCAGTAGACCCATAAGTCCTACTGAGCGCAACACTGTTAACCGCGACACGATACACCGAGTGGTTCAAGAGTAAACTCTGTAAAAAGCGCAAAAATACGCCCTTACAGAGCTGGTGCAGAGCGCGTCTGGTAGCCAGCCTATCAGCGGCTCATCAAGGTCGGCAGCACACTATATGACTCGTAAATTGACTCGTGTGTGCGGCCATGCAACGACTCGTGCCGACACATTGCGACTCGTTGCGACTTGCATCTTTTCTCACTGAAAAAAGAACATCTTTTTTCATTATCTGTTCTCGGTGGGAATAGATGTCTATTCTCATCGAGAATCGATCTGAAAAAAGATGATCTTTTTTCAGATCGATTCTCAGTGTGAACAGACGTCTGTTTTCCGTGAGAATCGACATTGAAAAAAGATGTTCTTTTTTCAGTGAGAAAAGAACATCTGCTTTTAGTGAGAATCGGTCTGAAAAAAGAACATCTGTTTACAGCTCTGTTTTTGGGGGGAATAGACGTCTATTCGTGGTACAAATCTGGCTGTAAATCTACATCTATTTGCAATATCTTCCTGCTGTCTGAAAACAGAACGGTGAAAATCGAACTTCTAGATTGTCACGCATTTTCCGCGGAAAAAAAATAAGTCCCCCTGCAGTGCTAGAGGAGCATGTGTTGTCATGGAAAGCTAGGTAGGGTATCACTGAAAGAATTGGGATATGGAGGCATTGTATAACAATGCAGTGGCTTTGAAGAGCACAAATGTAAGTGATTACATTGTAGAATATACCCTGAAAACCTAAGGCAGAACCCACACCATGAGCATGAGCTAGTCCAAAATTGAGATGAATTTCCTTTTTGGGTTGCTATAAGTTGCATCAAAATGTCCTAAAAAGGAAGTCACATGTTCAACATGTTCAATTCTGATTATGTAACTTGAACATGCAACCGAAAATGGAAGCTGTGCTGCAATAATGATCCAATCACACACAGCCGCATCAAGATTAGATAAGTCTTCAATTCGATTATCAGCAACTACAATTGAGTAAGCAGATACCATCAATATGGGTCTGACAGATAAGATGAGATTAAGATTTACATCATCAGTATCATCAAAAATTGATGGGAGATCAAAAGTAGTGTCATTCAACATGGCAGTGAAGCATGTGACTGATGCTGACAAAGAAAATGATGGGAAATCAAAGTTGTAGCCCTCGCAAAACTGAACAAGTTTCACCTATACACATGGGTAATCAGATCACTCGTTAGAGCGCAGCATCCAAAACAGTCCACATGATGACATCACTTGGAAAATGATGTAGAACAAAGTTTTGTGCAAAAATGGGTAAACCTAGCCTGAAAAGAAAGTGCCATATTTAAAACTACTACACTGGCTCGTTATAGCTGGATGCATTGAGCTACATTCTATTTTTAAGCAATACCCTATCCTGATTTCTAGTTCTGGCCAAGTGTCTCAGAATCTTCTAAAATAGGCAATTTTGGGGTCAAAAAATGCATTTTTTTTTCGGGCACTAACGTGCCAGGTAGGGTCTGGGGTGGGCCCCCCAGAGCCCCCCAGAGCCACCCATGGGGCCCCCCACATCCGCCCAGCCCACAGCCCCCCACTACCACTGAGGTACCTTGTTTGGGCCTCAAAAAGGTACCTCTCGAGGTAGGATTTTGGGGTGTCCAAGGTGGAAGTACGCGCTAGGAAGGAAAGCAGCATTTGTCAGGAAGGTGCTAAAGTCGAGAGCGGGAGAGGTTGTGTTTGACAAAGGAGACCTGGTGCAAGTGTTCCGAAACAACCTAGCCGACACAGTCAGCAACAAGAGGAAGCTGACAAGCTGGTGGTCCGAGCTGCACAGAGTTGAAGAGCGCATACTCAACTTCTATCAGCTGAAGACAATCGAGGGAGTGCAAATCGAGGGCAGATACAATGCCAGAAGACTGTCAGGGGAACCCCTGCTTTTGTCCGATCATCATGGGATCTTGCATGTGACCGTGCACGTGCCATCTGTCAGGCGTCACATGCTTTGGTCCGGACTTCCCTGCCAAGCACAACCACATGACACTCCGGCCCGGACCCCTATTGTTCCGACGGTCCGGCTCCCATTGTTCTCCCTGATCTGGCCCCTCATTGTTCCCTGGCCCCATTGTCTGGCGCTTCCATTGTGCTTGGTCATCCATTGTTCTGTAGGCTATATATAGTGGGCCCTGACAAGGAGAGTCCCCAACTCGGTTTCTCTTTGGACTTGTGACAATCAACCCAAAAACAAAGTCGAAAAGAGAAGTGAATTCGAAGACTGGAGAATACAACCAAGTAGCTACAGTATTTATACCCAAATCCAGTCTGAGTCATATCTACAACTAATGAGTCATAAGGCTATGTACCGCATGGAGCACTGGTCATGGGTTGTAATAGAACCTTCTGGAGCATATGTCGCGCAGCCTCGAATCAATGAAGATAATCCCTGGAACACCTAGTCCGGACCGTCGGATGCCTTGATCCGTGATAAGATAATTCATGCCGAGATAACGAGATAAGATAAGATAGGCGATGATAAGATGAAAAAGGGTTGAACTATGACAGGACTCTCTCTTGTCAGGTTTGCCAGTCTCCTGTATTTAGTTGATCCCTTTATCTGACGCTTTGGACTCTCCCTTGTCAGAACTCTGAGATCGGGCCTCGAGGTTGCCCTTACAAAGACTGTGAAGATACAAGGCACGAGAGGGGACGCCCTTAGCAAAAGTCCAGGAGGAGCACAGAAGAAGGGCAAAGGAAAAGGACAGAGCAGACAAAGGAGACACAGCAAGGAGACACAGCAAGAAGACTGAGGGCTGAAGCGGTGGCAGAGTTAGAGCAGTGGCACATACAACAAGCGGAGAAGGAACTCAAGAGCCAGGTGAGCAGCGAGGATGCCACCATTTGAAATGGAGGCACATGGAGTAGGGGTCACATGACAAGCAGACATAGTCAACACACATATACATACATCATCATCTCATTACTACAGATGACCACGAGGAGGCCCACTTGACTGCCATCATAGGCATGGTTGACACATCAAAACTTATGGACATGATGTAAATCAAGGGATCAGCTTTCTGCAAGAAGCAGGGGCAACAAAGTTACGTGGCACATATTACTAGCTACAGGCACCAGCGCGACCCTCTCCTGGATACCACAAACAATAGCCAGTCTAGCAATCCTTATCCCAAGAAGTGTTGTCAAGGGATGAATGCTATCAGTGATGCAGTCAAGAACTGCGACCAACTTCTTGATAAGGAACTCAAAGATGCAAAATACTATGGTGATGAGCAACATAAACAGATCATTGCAGGACAGGATCAGATTGTTGAGTCGCAGGAAAAGATGACTGAAGTATTGGATAGACTTCTTGCACAGATCAAGGGTTTGCACAAGGATGCACAGAAGTACCAGGATGTGGGAAACTCAACACAAACTACAGAGATGATTGTTGAAGTGTTGACAAAGAGGAACTAACAGTTGAACATTCAATCACAGACACCAGAATACAAGATCTCAACTTGCTTATCTACTGTGCAATTGTCAATACAGTGCCTGAATTTGATACTAGTCTACTTGAGGCCCAACTCGTTTTGTTCATTATCATTGGAAGCACCCTCCTTGAGAATCTGAACTTGTGTTGCTGGTGATTCGAGGCACCATACATCAAGTTCAGCATTGGGAACTGGATCCCCTTACAGGTATTAGGCGAGGGTGGGTAGAGTGCAATCAAAGTACTTTGAGACTTGGTTGCCATGGAGGATGGTGTGGCAGTTGCAAAGGAGAACAGAGACCAAGTAGTACAATCCAACAGGCTGAAGAAGAAGCTTCTTGTTTGCCACATAATTCAAGAACACAAATTGTTGGCCAATCTCTTTGATCATCTATTTGACCAATTCACAAATTTTGGTGATTTTCCCATTGACTGAGCTGGCAACTCTATCAAGTGACCCTTGTACGGGCTGCAAATGTGCCTAGAGACCGGGTATGCAGAATTGCTGTAAACAAGAGCTGTTTCTCTATCTATTCGCCAGAAATGCTCCTCCAGTATGTCAATGACCATGCTTTCCTTGAAGCAAGTCTGTGTGACAATCAGGAAGAAATAATGTCAAAAAGAGAAGTCAATTTGAAGACTGGAGAATAAAACAAAGTAGCTACAATATTTGTACCCAGATCCAGTCTGAGTCATATCTACAACAAATGAGTCATAAGACATAGTGTATAGAGCGCTGGTTATGGGTTGTAGTAGAACCTTCCGGAGCATATGTTGCCCAGCCTCAAATCAATAAGGATGATCCCCTGGACTCCTAGCATGGGCTGGTTGATGCCATGATCTGTGATAAGATAACCAGTGTTCAGATAAGATAAGATGGTTGATGGAAAGATGAAAAGGTGATAAAATGTTGACAGTCTGGTCATGTAAGCCTTCTGTGATAGTTCAACCACTATTTCATCTTTTTATCAATGATCTTATCTTATCTTGGCACAGGTTATCTTATCACTATCATAGATCACAGCATGACATGGTCTGGGTTTGGGCCTCAAGGGGGGTTTCTCTATGGATCCAAGGCTGCTCAACATGTAGCCAGAAGGTTAGTTTTTGCTTGCCTTGGTTGATTTTTTGTATTCTCTGTAGTAGATAGCATACTAGAGGCTACAAGCCACCCAGTTATCAGTAGATTAGTCAGATTCTGACAACCCACTTGTGTGCTTGTGACTTGAGACTTCAGGAGTCAAAACACCTTTGCTTGATCATGACCTACTCTCTCTGAGAGTTTGTTGTTACTGTGAATCATTGTTACTTGAGTTTCAGTTGAGATTTAGAGGATTTGATCATTGTGTCTTGATATTTATTGCAACCACACATCACGTCTACTATTGTTGCAACTGATTAGTTGAGTTACCAGTGCAGTGACTGTTTGGTTTCATCCAGACTTCTGTGGGCAGTACGTTGGCAGTTGTGCTTGGGTTTTTGGTAGTGCTATAGTTGGCAGTGCATTGATTTGGTGCTCTTGGTGCTATAGTTGGCAGTGCATCAACTTAGGATCACATCTGTTGGCAGTGTGTTGACATTTGTTTGGGTTTAGCATCATCATTTGGACACTGTCAAGACAAGAGACCTGAGTACTCAGTACAAAGGCTCACTTGGTTTATATTTGGGTTTGGTGTCATATACTTTGACGCCATTGCAACAAGGGCACTCAGTACCCTGTACCCAGTTTTCGCTTGCCTTGATTGATTTTTTTGGTTGTTTGATTTGGGATTTGTTGATTTTATTTGAGTCTTTGTGTGACATTACAGTGTTGCAACTGCTCAGATCCAGTCTTCAGTTCAAGAGACATTTTGGATTTGGTGTTCTGTCACTATTGAAGCCTTAACACTTTCACACACCTGAGAAGCTGATTAGAGGAGTGTGACGTGTTTTGTGGTTGACTTGATTTCATGGTCGATTCAGCCACAAGCACACCCTCAGCATTTCACTGCTTCCTCATTATGCTCCAAATCCTCATCATCCATCTCTTCAACAGCCTCAGGCAACAAAACATGCTCAAATTCAGAGCCTGAGTCATCAGCACCTTGGTCTACACAGTTGTTTTTGCGGTCAGAGGTCTCAAGGGTTGCCTGCAATTTGGATTGTGTTGTGGAAACAGTGGGAGGCAGCAAGGGAGAAGGATGGTCTTCTGGTGCGGATTGCCGCAGTCGAGCAGAGCGACATGGCCTTGAGGGTGCTGGCTCTCCACCTGGGGCTTTGGGACAGCTTGGCATGCAAAGGAGAGTTGCTAGAGGTCAAATATGACTGGAGTGAAGGACGTAACACTCTTTGGCGCCTATCAGTCACATGACATGTTGAACTCATTTCAACTTCCACACAATGCCCACTACTGTACTATTACAACCAAGTGTTCAGGTCACAGGTCACAATGGCGTCTTGGCTAAATTTTTGATGTGCTCAAAATTTGCGATAAATCAAAACAAAAATCTTTGGTTCCAGAATTTCGAAAAATTTTGAACACTTGGTCATAATATGTAGTACAGTACCTCACTAGCATTGTAATCATATTTTCAAGCCGCATGTGGCTTCACACGGCTCACCACAACCTGTCTATTGACATCACTGAACATTGGACTTGGTCAGTAGGACATTACTAGTATTGGATTCATGCTGGCTGACATGCAGGAGTTCCTCGCACATTTCACTCAAGAGTCCCATCATCCGAATCAGTTTTGATGGATTGCATGTGACCGTCAGATCGTCGCAGTCACGATGGGTGATATCGGATCGAGGATTGGTCATCGGACCATTGATGCGATGGCTATCCTCAATCACTATGAAGCAAGTCGCAGTTTTCCATCCCCCTTTTGAAACCGAACAAAGCTCGACATGGGGCAACGCCTAGCGGTAAATAATTGGCCTGATCTTTTCATGCTGTAATGATAAACACGAGAGACGTCAAACCTTTGCGCCACGACCCTTTAACCCATCGTTCCGGGTTTTGCTGATCACGTAGATTTCTTGAGACTCGTTCTTGGGCTGGATCATGCATCTTGTCAGAAGCGACATTCCTATTGGATTTGGACTTGAACCGGATGATACCAAGTCTCGTCATGGGGCCTTTGCCTGGCCTTGTGAGTAAGTACCTGGGTTCGCTGGTCCAGACCATCGGGGGGACTCATGGGCGCAGATATTCACTGACCCAGGCTCGTAACCCCTCGCAGGACCCTGCTTAGGATTCAATCCTCCGGGCTCCAGGCGCTCTGAACGCTTCGCTTGTCTCGTGCTCGGAACCGCATAATGACGCGGAATTTCTACTCACCCGTATTTTCCCACGTTGACAGGCAGAAAGAGAAGTCTCCGTGCCATCTGGTGGAGCTCCGCTGATAAGCCAACCGGCGATGCGAGCTTTCGATTCCGCGGGTATGTCTTGTCGACATCCTTGCCATTCTTGAGCTGAGAGCATCGTCAGCTGGTTCTCTGAATTTTCCCAACATGTCAGCACAGTTGTACTCGGGGTTCGCTTTCTATGACGCTAGGCAGATCAATGTGCATGAGCTTTGACAAAGCGAATGGTGACAGGAATGCGAAGCTTACAGCACCCTGTCAAGCCAATTCATCACGCAAAGCCCGGGTCGAGGTATGTTCCACCGTGCGCTGCATGTTTTTCCCCGTCGCTGGCACTCGATGACGCACAGCGGCGACAACCCATTTTCCGAGACTCCTATGACACACAGTTGTGACGGCCCAGTGTCCGGTAATTCCAGTTGAAAAGGGTGAGCTGCGAGTCCGTCTTTTTCCTCACCAGCCGCCTTCAAGCAGCCTCTGCCCGAGAAACATGCTTGCCCTTCGCCACTTCACTTCGCTCTTGCTCCTCGTCTCCACCGCGTTCGTGGCTGCCAGCCCCGCTCCTCTCCCCGAGGTCGGTGCGGTTGCCGCCGTCGAGGAGCGCGGCTCCGGTGTCGATGTCGTCGGAATCATCGTCACTCTCCAGGCCTCGGTCGCTGTCGTTCTGCCACAGATCGGTCAGTTGGCGGTTTCTGCAGTCGACCATGCGGTCATCCGGGCTGACCACGCATCTAGACAATCTCTGCACCAGTGGCCAAGCCACCGACCTCACCATCGCCCCACTCATCGTCGAGTTAGAAGCGGCCATCGAGATCGCCGTCGTTGCTCTCGGCACTGTTCCGCTCTCCGGCATCGGCTCTCCGTCCCAGTGCGCGGGTCTGATCGCTGAGATTATCGAGGTGCTTTCGATTTCTCCTTCGCGAAGGACGTGGTCGCTCAGCGTTTTGTCAGGATATCACCCACACGATTGAAGGTTGCCAGGGCGTAGGCACCATCCTCACGCTTGGGACTCTCGTGGCTGGGCTCGACCAAGCGATCCAGGGACTGCTGCTCACGGTCGAGACTGTCCTCGCGGGTGTGCTTGTTCTCGTGGCGGGACTGTATGTCTTTTGTTTCCCGTGCCGGCGGCGGACTGTGCTGACTGCTCGTTTGCAGAATTGTTGATGTCGTTGCGCTGCTGAAGTCGCTTCTGTTCGGCCTGACCCTGGGCTGCCTCGGACTCTGATCGCATTAGCGGCTGCAACGTTTGGAAATCTGAGTCGCGTAAGTATCTCCCGTTCAATCGTTCTACACTCGAAATTTTGTTCGTCAATCTGTGAATCTTCGTTATAAAACTTGTTTTTCCGTTGTCCCATCCCCGAACACAGGACTCCAATCCTCTAGAGTGTTGGCAGTCCTGGCTCTCTGGAGCGTCCCAGCTTACATCGATGTAACGTGAAGTGTCGGAGGTTTCGCAGCGGACCGGACCTGACATGATTCCTTTTTCAAATAAAGTCCGTTGAATCTTCGATTTCGATCTTGCGGATATTCTGTGACAGTGTCTGTATTCAGTGGTCACAGATCCTTCGCTCAAATTGACTAGATATCCAGGCCTCGTTCATTTCGGATTCCCTGCCACAAACTGTTGAATCGAATTGGCTCTGGCTTTCGTTTCTAACATTCTATCTTTGCCTCGGCCGATGGCTTGTGAACCCTCCGCGGTTTGTCACTCTTCCCCGGGAATCATCCCTTCCGCTTCTGCCATTCGTCGGCAAAGACTCCGGCTAGCGTCGGTGTTCTCGATCCTTTCTTGCTTCATTGTAGGCAGCCTTTGCACCGTAGCATCCCTTCCACCTGTCGTTTTGCAAGATCATATCTGCAAGATCATACCTGGCACTGATGCTCTTTCATGTTGCCTAATGATGTTGTTACGAGCAATGAGAGTCTTCGAGAATGTATGCGCGGAATACGTCAGGCTCAGATACTCCTCATCACTTGCACGGGCATCTCACACCGTCTTTTCCTTACTTCTAGGGATATAAATGTTTGCAACGATAACATCTGCCTCGTGACCACACATCCCAAACGCCTCGTTTTGCTCTTCATTCAAGCGCGGCCTCCAGGCTGTGATGAGAGGAATGTTGTGGTCAGTAAAAAAGAGAAGTTTATACACGAAGAAATGTTGGTTCAATTATGTAGATCACAAAGTAGCTTTGGCGCCCTCTGGCCATCCCACTTTGATGACTATTTTCCCGAACTGCGTTCCCTTCTCCATTATCTCGAAGCCCTCCTCGGCGGATTCAAGCCCGGTAAGGACCTTGCCAACGATTGGAACGATCTTATGTTTCTCTACGAACTCGGTCGCTGAGATCAGGTCTTTCCTCGACCCGAGGAGCGTTCCTGAGAATGCGATTTAGTGGTGGTGGCGATTCGAAACCCAAATGAGGGGTGCGCACCGATGAGTTGCTGGTTTCGCATCACCTGCGGCATACTCATGGTGATCTTCGGACCGGCCGTCATGCCGTAGCAGACGACCTTACCTCCGAACTTGAGCGACTTGGCGGTCTTGGCCAGAATCTCGTCCCCTCCCGAATCGATCACGGCATCCAGCTCAGTTTTATGAGATTTGAGAAGCGCAGCGAGAGTTTGCGGCCAGTTCTCTGATCATGAGTCGGGTGAAAACTTGTGGGGGGTCCTTCTCAAGAGGGACTTACCATCGGAGTATCTCACACCGCCCTTCGCGCCCATGGCAATCGCTTTGTCGATCTTGCCCTGTCCGCCAGATGAGACGTAGACCTTCAGTCCCATTCCGACGCAGAGTTGCAGAGCGGTTAACGCGACACCGCCGCCAATTCCGGTAATGAAGACTGTCCCGTTTGGAGGGATTTCAGCAAGAGAAATCGATCTGCAGGACCGTCAGCACACTGCTGCACGCGCAGAGATGTACACGCACCGCCAGGCAGTAAGACCGGCCAGGGGCCAAGCAGCAATCTCCTCATCTGTCAGATGTGACGGCGTGGGAATGACCTCCTTGCGGTCCAGAACGATGTGCTCTTGGAAAGTGCCAACGTCTGGGTACGCAGTCCCGCCAAGGACGCCAAATCTGCAGCAAGAGTTTGCGAAGGCTCGTGACGTTGATAGGTGGCGCACGTCTCTTCTGGTACATGCGGGTGGCTTTCCCAACCGCGCATGGGCGTAAGGAACACGCGTTTGTTGAGGAGAGGGTCTTCCGCATCACCCGCGGCGATAACTACGCCTACGAAGCATTGGATGAGCATCGAGAAGAGCACTTCCATGCTCACCGGCGCCATCTGATCCCAGCACCCGGCCGACCTTCCATTTCGGATACAGGCCTTTCCGCAGCCACAGCTGTGCAGGCATATCAACATGATGACTGCCGGAACTGGAAGACCTCGAGTCGTACATCTCGGTGGTTATAGGCTGCAGCGGTAATTTTGACCAGGACCTGCCCCGGTTTCAGAGTTGGCAGCGCTACTTGCTCTAGCAAGGCATCGTTGTACAAGGACTGTTGTGCGACGGTCGGCGCGCGCATCATCAAAGCGCGGGTCGTGCGCGGTATCTTCGAGCCGGAGGTAGACGATTGGATTTCCATCGCGAGTACGAGGAGAGCAGGGGTGCGAGAGAAAGAGAGAGCAGTGCGCTCGGCATAGACATCGATACTTAAGGTCTCTGCCCGAGTAGGAATCGTGCCTGGTCCGTGGTCGTTCGTTATCTCTGCCCAAACGTGATGGCCAGGATTAACGATCTCGTCTGAACTGCGACGGCCCTCTATCGAACAAGTTCAGCCGGAGACGAGGGTCGAGGAGAGAATAGGTCGGGACATCGGAAGAGTGGGATGCTGATTCCAAGGCCCTAAAGCTTAAATGAGGCAAGCGAAGAGAAAGAACACACTTGGACGTACCAGTGGTACAGGTCTCCCGCCATCTCAACAGCTTGATACCGACCTCTCCATTGACATCGGCACAGTGATAACTCGCTCTCCGAAAATTTTCATGTGGTAAGTATCTTAGTCCTCAAAGGATTAGTAAGGACACGTGTCGACTACGGTCACGGGGTGCGATGCGTGACTGACGTGACTCGACTGCCTCTCACGTGAAATGATATTGATTCAACAATACACGCTCATGCCTAGTGCAATCCTTCTCAGTATAGTCTAGGACGACAGGTCCATGGTGGCCCTCAGGGTGACTGGCGAAATGGCATCGCGTCTGACTACGACTGCTCTCGCATAGCAAGTGATCAGGAGATTGTAGGTTCGACCCCTACGTCGCTCATCCAAGCTTCTTAAGCCGAATTGGAACGTGGCGGCCTCGTCTGAGGCCTTGACTTTTTTTCCCATCTTACACTACATCGTTCCCATGTCTGCTTTACAAATGTGACCGAGCAACCCCTCCCTCGCCTATCTGAACCACTATTTTGCCAAACTGTGACCCGCGCTCCATCACCCGGAAGCCCTCCTCGGCGCCATCGAGCCCATCGAGTACAAGTGCAATTACTGGAACGATCTTATGCTTTTCCATAAAGCTGGTCGCTGCGATCAAATCCTGGCGAGATCCCATCATAGTCCCTTGGACGAGTCAGTGGCGACACAGAGTCATAGTTGAAACCTGGAAGCACCTATCAGTTGTTGATTTCGCATCACCTCGCGCATGGACAAGGAGATCGTCGGCCCGGCGGTCATCCCGTAACATACGACCTTCCCGCCGAAAGCCAGGACGGGGCCGACTTGCTGCATGATTTCCGACCCACCGGAGTCGATCACCGAGTCGACGTACCGGAGTCCATGTGACTTCAAGAGTGCGGCCAGCTGTTTGGGCCATGTTTCTACATGGTAGAATCAATCACATGGGGAACCGACGATGTCGCAATACGCACTGTCTGAATATTTGACTCCCCCCATGGCCCCTGATGCGATTGCCTTGTCGATTTTGCTCTGAGATCCGGAGGTGACATATACATTGAAACCCATGGCGACGCAAAGTTGGAGCGCAAGCAGAGCGACGCCGCCTCCGATTCCTGTGATAAGCACGGAACCGTTGGTGGGGACGTTTGCGAGGGAGATTGATCTGTTTTGCTTCGTATGGGTCACTGTTTCAGCTGGACGGCAACTTGCTCACCGCCACGCCGTGAGCCCGGCAAGCGGCCATGCAGCCATTTCTCGATCGGATAGATGATCGGGTGTAAGGATGACCTCATTCCTGTCCACCACTACGTATTCAGAGAAGGTTCCGAGGCGAGGATACTCTGCACCGCCCAGTATTCCGAACCTCAAGTGGAATAAGTCACCAGCATTGAACGAGCGAGTGCTCTCACGGCTTCTCAGGTACATGGGGATGAGACTCCCATCCGCGCATCGGCGTCAAAAAAACGCGTTTCCCGAGTAGACTGTCCGATTGATCGAAAGAAGCGACGACCTTTCCTGTGAAGGCATCAGTGGCGAGCTCCTGGATGTCGACGAACGAACCTGCGCCATCCGCTCCGATTGTGCTGCCCTTGGCGATGCGTGGATACATACCCTTACGAATCCACAGCTGGAAGAGAATTGAGTCCTTATATAATCATCTAGCTCTGCCTATGGACGACAACGGACTTCACGGTGGTTGAACGCAACTGCTCCCATTTTCACCAGTACCTCTCCTTCTTTGAGCGCAGCCAGGTTCTGTTCTTGTATCTCGGTATCATACTTGAATTTCGATCCTTCCTTCGGAGTGCAAAGTACCAACGCGCATGTCGTGGGCATCGTCGGGTTGTGGGGGAGGAAGAGTGTTGGGGCAGTATCGTCGGCTACTTACCGGTCCGAGTGACGTTACAATCGAGCTCTGTCACTTCAGCTGAGTCATCAAAGACCAAATCGAGCCACACAGTCCGTCACACTCCTTTCCCCCCTCTCAGGTGAATGTCATCATCCAACAGCCAACCGTTTGTGCAACCAGGGGAGCCACTGAACGACTTCCTCCGTTCTTTCTGGCAGCGCCAAATCGATGCCGCCGAGCATGAGGCACCGGACTACAGACACCCGCCGCTCCCGCTCGCCCGCATCAAAAAAGTGATGAAGAGCGACCTGGACGTCAAGGCGCGTCGTGCGGGGATTTATGGTTCCATCTCAGAGGCTGACGCGCTTCGGGTCTTGATTGTGTTATAGATGATCGCTGCTGATGGTGTGTGTCATGAGCCTCGTCACCTGCGATTAGTTGCACTCACGCCGAACAAACGCCATACAGCGCCGATCTTGTTCTGCAAGGCCTGCGAGAGTGTGTTTTTGACTTCCCGGGCTCTCATCGGGTTTCTCATTCTCAGTCTAGTATTCATCGCGGAAATCACCGCGCGCGCGTTTATCATCGCCGACTCGAATAAGCGAAGGACGCTTTCCAGAGCCGATATCGCCAAAGCACTGACGAAGTCTGACCAATTTGATTTCCTGATCGACATAGTTCCAAGAGATGAGCCTCTAGCGGGCTCCACCGCGGCGAGCGGGAGCGGCGAAGTAAGGAGGCAAACTGCTGGCGTCGAGGTCTTGAAACGTGAACCAGTGAGTATCCATCTTTACTCCACGCTTTTTCTCACCGTCACAGGTTGCTTCCCCGCTCAATCTGTCGGAACAGAGCATCGCAGATGGCGAGGGCACACCTGATACGACCCAGCGCTCTGAGGTGCTGGAGCAGGTCCGCCCCACTCACTCATGTGCTATTGGCTGTCGCCATAAACTGACACGGATGTAGCTCGAATCACTTTTGGCCGCTGGGTCATCTGGTATACGCGACGGTCTATGATGCAACCCAATCAAAAATCGTATCATATTGTAGACCGGATGTGAACCTAGCACCCAAGTGAGGTGTAATGCATCTTGTCCGTCGTGACATGAGGCACAGAAAAGATGTGAGGTTCCCATGCGCGTTCAGGAAATTTGTCCTAGTTGTCCTTTTATCTGAGAGTAACAGGACATCGGTAGGTAATCCCTCTTGCTTTTAAAATTTAGTAGTTGTCGAGCACTTCTTGTAGTTCCATAATTTGACTCAGCGCCTATGACATGAATCGCTCACGAGCATCCAAATTTACTGGCTGGCGGACAGTCAAGTCACGGCCCCGCGGAGAATAGCAGAGCCCGTGATTCAGCCAGGTTGTGACGTCGATTGTGACGCTCGTAGCCACCACCTCACGACCAGGACCTGGCTGGACGCGTGCCGACTGCCCACGCGTTGGCAGTGAGCTACTACGCCATCTGGCTTTGACTTATTTCACTTGATCACTCCTGCTGTCAGCAGGCTCAATACCAATCTTCTGGTCTTCGCTGACGGAGACTGGAGTTCTGCAGCTCCATTGTCTTTTTGTTGGGTCCGTCACTCTCATGTCAGCCGCTCTAAGATCTCCCCCGACACTTGTCGAGAACGGGCGAGAGCTCGCCATTTTCCCTTTCTGCGTCGTCCGTGTCGTATCGTATTTTGCTGCTGGCGACATCTTTCATGATTGTACGTGCATCATGCCTGTACTCAGTCTGACGGACCAAGACTGCCCAATCGTACCCCAATCGCACACGTGGAAAGGCTATACACTCCAGCGCGCTCCGCACTCACTCTCACGGATTGTCTATTTGTGATTTCTCACGGCGGCGCGCGAAAGAGGAGAGAAGTGACATGTTTTGTGGAGCTGCGCTCAAAGACGTTAAAGCTGATTTTCATCGAAGCAGTTATTGTGAACCTCGGGAAATCGTGCAGAACACGCAGACTTATGCACTCGCATTGCTTTGTTCTTCTGAATGCTGAACAGTACTCTCAGCTCTGACCGCGCCTCAGGCCACGTCTTAAAATTGTATCAGGATGTCTGATTGACGTTCTGAAATGAATTGGAGCCATAGACAAGGTTTTACGACATCTACGGTGCTCCAATGTTTCACGCGATCCTCAGTTGCGACCAAAAATATGCATCGCGTTTGTCTCTCCCATCGCTTGTGCGTTATGACGCGCGAGTGACGGTCTGGGTTGATAAATAAGGTATAAAAGCGGGCATGGATGCTACCCATTTCTTCACCAAGCAGCCTCAAATCCTCAAAGCAGCCTCAGATCCACCAGGCAACATGTTCGCACTCCGATTCACCTCTCTCTTCTTCCTTTTCTCTACTGCGTCCCTGGTGGCTGCCAGCCCGACTCCCGTCGCCGAAGCGCTCTCTGTCGACAAGCGAGCATCGTCTGCGGATGTTTCCGGCGTCGTGACCACCCTCCAGACATCGGTCGGCTCCATCTTGCCCCAAATCGGTTTGTTCCTTCGTCGTTCTATGTGTACTCCGCATCTAATGTGCTTCGAGACTCTCTCGTCTCGAGTGGAAGTGCGACGGATCAGACCGTCACCCCGCTCATCGGCCAATTGACCACCGCTTTGGACACCGCTGTGATTGCACTCGGAGAACTCCCGCTCTCCCGCAAACGTCAGTCGACCGATCAAGTGGCAAACTTGGTTGCTGGTATCATTAAGGTTCGTCACATCGTTAAACGTTCTCGGAAGCGGGGGCTCACTATTCATGCCAGGACATCACCACCACTCTCGATGGACTGACGCAAACGGCGTCGACTGTGCCCGGCCTCGGGGGTCTCCTCGCCGGTGTCGATACCTCGCTGAATCAAGTCCTGATCGGACTTGAGACTCTTCTTGCTGGTGTGCTCAATCTCGTGGCAAATCTGTCCGTCTCCTCTCCATTGACCTTGAGTTGTTCCCATGAAACTGACAATTCTTCTCATTTTCCAGATTGGTTGACGTCGCTGGCTTGCTTCGATCTCTCGCGCTCGGCCTGACCTTGGCTACGCTCGGTCTCTGAGCGGGTGCGCTATAAAAGTACCGAACAGATCATGGACTGAAAGATATTTACTTTGTACGGACTGGATTTCTAGAAACATTCACGAATTGATTGATAATTTTTCCTCGTCATGGAGTACTTTGAGTGAGGTGCATGCAATACAAGAGAGCCCTTAGCCAGTTATACAGTGTAGTAGGCATCAATGGATTGGTATGTATCAATGGATGATTTCCTTCTACAACATTTTCTACAATAGTTCTGGCTCCCATACCTCATATTTAGCATCCAATAGACCAATCCTACCTCCTGCATGAGTTTTGGGTCCATAGAGGAAATAAATGCAGCAAAAAATGCTGATCTCCATCCAAATCAGGCCAATTCTGGTTTGATCAGGATTTCCTCTCTCAAATCACGGCCTCTTCAGTCAGGACTTGGGCACTATTTCTTTTCAATAGCATCAAGGCTATCTAGAGACACAATTTAGACCTCATTGGGACAGCTAATTGGCACTTCGTAGGTATTATGGTGCTGCTTTCTTGATGGAGCGTGACATTGCCTTGCAACTTTGACTTGTATCCATCACTCCTCCATTAATATTGAGTCAAATCACTCTTTACGCTCTCTCGGATACCTGAATTTGTACTTTGACCATGTGGGAAACCTTCAAATGTGACGGAGAGAGCTAATTCTTAGATAACATCCCAAGTGGGATCTGGGTAGATTGATGGCAAAAGCACTGGATCTGAGGGACATGCAAGCTATCTGAGCCTATTCTAATTCAGAAGAAGATGTTTGGAAGATGGGATGAGCTGAGGGATGGGTGAAATGGCAAGAATATGAGAGATCAAAGTGTGACATCCATTCATCCCTACCTGTGACACATCCACTTCTGCGCCGATCTTGCTTCTTCTCTTGGCCACATCCCCCTAGGAGCACAGAAACTGACTAGAATACATCTAAAGAGTGTCTAATGTGTCTCTATAAAATTGAGAGGCTTACAGTGGAGGTCTCAGAGCAAGGGACATCAAACATCACTCCATCAATCCATTGATACCTACTACACTGTAGGATGGTGGTGACCCAAAGCAAGGCTGAATGTTTTATTTTGATTGTTGATGGGACGTGCGTGCAAGCGTCGACTCTGGCGATCTACCAGATCGAGCGCTCGCCTTTTATCGAGGCATTACGAAATGGATTTTGTGCCAACCTCATCCCATGAGCCTTAAGAGAGAGAAAGAACTACACCCCTGCGTTACTGACTAAGCCAGGCAGAGATAGGAAGTGTGCGCGTTAAGGATAAGCGGTGCCCAGAGCCCCGTGTCTGTTTTGATCTTGTGATCGATCCGCCTTGGTCTTTACGGTGGCTGCTTGATTACCGTACAAGTGATCGATCAGCTCTCAAGGTCAGTTCCGAGAAAGGCTATGTCACCTTCTACAGTGACCCGAGGGCACTTCGTTGAGGGCGAATCAAATAAATAAGAAACTTGTAGATGAAATGTTTTTCATTTGTACTGTAGTATCACACCTAAACTCAGGTCCATCAGCTCGTTGCTCTAAAAGGAAACGTCCGAGCTCCTCAGCCTCAGCCTTCCGGATGGAGCGGCCGGAACACACTTGGCGTGATGATCGAGTGAGGACCGTTGATGTCATCAGTGCACGTGATCGTTCCTTGGTTTTTCCGTAGCACTCATTCAGTGCCCGCGCGGCTCCGCCTGAGCGTCTCCACAATGGTCATCTGCGGCCTTTGAGTGCGTCTTGCGGAGGCTACGATTGACTGACTACGTTTTCGAGGATAATCGTGCTCACTCTGCCACCACCCTTCCGTGTCACACCCATCGGACCTTGTCCCGCAATTTCCCCTCATCGACAATTGAAACACTCCATTCAAGAAGACAACAGACTAATTTCACGCCACTATCATTACGAGTCATCGACGAACGTCGGGCCTATGGCGCTCACAACCGCGGAAAGACGTCAGTACAAAAGATCGAGCATTCCAAGAGGTGGGGATAGTCCTGCAGTCCATTGGTGATAGCATTCTGGAACGTCTGATCTTGAATGAGCTGTTCATAGTGAAAGAGCATCAGAGCTAGATTATGGGACGGGCCGAAACTCACCTCGACCAGCTTGTCCATGGTCTCGTCCTCGGTGAGCACATCAAATGGAATGCCTTGGAAGGAGTGGACTTACCTCGGTTTCCAGAATCACGACAAAGATGTCGTCCTTGGGCGCTTCGAATCCGGCGGTACGGATATGGTCCGACACCGCGTCCGTCTTCGGGAACCACTATTCGCTCGATGAGTGCCGGGACGCAGCGGAGGCTCGCGATTGGCTCACGAGGGAATGCTGGACCAGATTCGCCTTTGCCGCGGGAACGGTCTGCATCACCGAATCCATCAGTCGCTCCAGCCTGGCATGAAGCTCGGGGATAGGGATCTCTGGGTGAGTCTTGAATACGCCAAAGACGTGCGTGCGCTCGTCGGCCTCGGGGATGTGGACGGTCGTGTGCAGATCCGCGGAGAAGACGCACGAGTCCGCGAGCGCGCCCGAGTTGGCGGCCGCAGCGATTGCCTCCTGCATCGATGGGTCGTTGCTGAGCTCAGCGCAGTGATCATTGCTCTGCAATGTAAAGCAAGAAAACATGTCAGCGCTCTCGGCCCGTAAATGGCAGGAAGAGAATACGAAACATGAGCTTGCGTGATAATGGCTCCGTATTGCTGAGGTGCGGGGAGTCCCAAATTGACAATGGATTCGTCCAGCTTGCTGTTTTGAACAACCTGGAAGGTCGTAGATCCGCTCAATCGGCGTCAGATGGCAGGGAAACACAAGTCGTACGAGCTCGAGGGCAGCCCAATTCTTCTGTACAGTGGGGAGCTGTGCTATCTTGGTTGCAAATTCATCTAGCTGGCTGTCAAAATCGGCCTTGGAGTTGCCGCTGGGGACCTTGAAAAGACAGAACGCGGGCGCAGTTTCTTTGAGGTTCGCTGAAGCGGGCATGTTGTGCAATATTAGATGGGAAGAGACATCCTCATCCTTTTATGCCATTGAGGTCGGCTGCAGCTCGCGTCCACTCGACAGGCCTAGTGAGGAAAGGGGGGATGAAACCAATGTCTTGATCGTGATTCCTAGTTTACAGCGTTACAGCTGTGTCGCACTACTGTACATCAGTCTTTTCAGGACCAAAGTCTAAGGTTGAGGCCGGGCCTATTCAAAGAGCTTTCATTGGCGGCGGACGTTCCGTCGGATGGAGCTCCAGCCGCGTAGAGATGATTCAGTATGATTTTCAATTTTGCGACTATGGCAAACCATCTCAGGGCCGCATTACTGATTAGTGGACTGGGCCAAATAGAGTACTGAACCGGACCCACGTTTTCACCTTCCATATAAAACGTGGAGCTCTCTGTACTCTATCAGCGCCTGGTTCATCTCTTTCGACTCCATGGATCGAACGTCACTTTAGGAACAGTCTATGATGTCGGATCAACGATCAGAGATCCATCATCCGATCACTCTGAACCAGGCCGCAGTTTTCCATCCCCCTTTCGAAACCGAGCAAAGCCTAGCAGTAAAGAGTTTACCGGATATTTTGGTGCTGTAATGATGAATATAAGAAACGTCGAACGTTTGCGCCACGACACTTTATCCATCGTCCCGGTTTTAGCTGATGTTGAAGTTTTCTTGAGACTCGTTCTTGGTCTGGATCGTGCATCTTGTCAAAGGTGACATTCCTATTGGATTCGTATTCAGCCCTTGTGCTACCATCTCTCATCATGGGGTCTTCGGCTGGCCTTGCAGATGAGAAGATTAGTACCTGGGTTCCCTTGTCCAGACCATCGGGGGACTCATGGGCGCAGATATTGCCAGAATCAGGCTGGAATCCCCTCGATAGACCGTGTCGAGGATGTGATCTTCCGAGCTCCAGGTAGAATGAATGCTTCTTCGCCTTCCTCGTGCTCGGAACCGCGTACTGATGCGGACTTTGAGCTCACCCGGATTTTCCCACGTTGACGGGCAGAAAGACCAGTCGCAGTGCCATCATTCGGTGGAGCTTCGCTGCTGAGCCGACCGCTGACACGATCTTTCGAATCCGTGGGTATGCTTTGCAGACAACCGGGCGATTCATGTGCGAAGAGAATCGTCAGCTTGTTCACTGTATTATCTCAATTTCTCAGCCACAGTTGTCCGCGGAGTCAACTTCTATGACGAGATGCAGATCAATGTCCATGAATTTTGACAAAGTGAATGCTAACAGGAATGCGAAGCTTACAGCACCCTGTCAAGCCAATTCATCACGCAAAGCCCGGGTCGAGGTATGTTCCACCGTGCGCTGCATGTTTTTCCCCGTCGCTGGCACTCGATGACGCACAGCGGCGACAACCCATTTTCCGAGACTCCTATGACACACAGTTGTGACGGCCCAGTGTCCGGTAATTCCAGTTGAAAAGGGTGAGCTGCGAGTCCGTCTTTTTCCTCACCAGCCGCCTTCAAGCAGCCTCTGCCCGAGAAACATGCTTGCCCTTCGCCACTTCACTTCGCTCTTGCTCCTCGTCTCCACCGCGTTCGTGGCTGCCAGCCCCGCTCCTCTCCCCGAGGTCGATGCGGTCGCCGCGGTCGAGGAGCGCGGCTCCGGTGTCGATGTCGTCGGAATCATCGTCACTCTCCAGGCCTCGGTCGCTGTCGTTCTGCCACAGATCGGTCAGTTGGCGGTTTCTGCAGTCGACCATGCGGTCATCCGGGCTGACCACGCATCTAGACAATCTCTGCACCAGTGGCCTAGCCACCGACCTCACCATCGCCCCGCTCATCGTCGAGTTGGAAGCCGCAATCGAGATCGCCGTCGTGGCTCTCGGCACCGTTTCGCTCTCCGGCATCGGGTCTCCGTCCCAGTGCGCGGGTCTGATTGCTGAAATCATTGAGGTGCCTTGCATTTCACCCTGCCGGACAACTTCGTCGCTCAGCGCTTTGCCAGGACATCACGCACACCATTGAAAGTTGCGAGGGCGCGGGCACCATACTTACGCTTGGAACTCTCGTGGCTGGGCTCGACCAAGCGATCCAGGGACTGCTGCTCACGGTCGAGACTGTCCTCGCGGGTGTGCTTGTTCTCGTGGCTGGACTGTACGTCTTTTGTTTTCCGTGCCGGCTGCAGACCGTGCTGACTGCTTTTTTTGCAGAATTGTTGACGTCGTTGCGCTCCTGAAATCGCTTCTGTTCGGCCTGACCCTGGGCTGCCTCGGACTCTGATCCCATAAGCGGGACCGAGATGAATTCGAAGTTGGGAAATCTGAGCCGTCTATGAATCTCCCTTTCTGTTGTTCTACATAAGCATGAAATTTTGTTCGTTTTTCTGAATCTCCGTTATAACTTGTTTTTTTCATAGTCGCAACCTTGATGATACATCCGCTCAGGAATTCCAACATTTTAGGAGTCAGCAGCCCTAGCCGTCTGGAGTCTCTTAGTCCGCATCTACTTTGGCCGAGAACTCACCTGTCCGGAAGAACCACGCAAATATCGTCCATTCAATCTTGATTTCGATTTTCCGAATGTGCTGTGACACAGTGTCCGACTTCTGTAACCATTTTTCAGGGCATCCAGAATTTGCCGCGTGAGTACGCAGACCCCTCGACAAAAACAGAGAGATAAGATGTTCTGCCAATGTCCGCACGTAGACAGACGTAATAAAAGCCTGCTTGTGCAAGTTGAATCAGATGAAGAATGGTCGCCGCGAGATCGCCAAGGTCGAAGGTTCAATCGTCCATTGAATCTACCTGGATCAAGATCAATCATATCGGTTTACCACGGACCAATTGGGATCCGCTGGAGTCCCACATCCTGCTTAGTGACTTTCAAGGTGGCCTGCGGGACGGCCCCCACCCGCTGAGGAGTTCCGCTGCGTTCAGGTCCCGCTTGAGCGTGGTTCAAACCGGTTCTATGGGTAAAATGTGGGGGTGCTCAGGGTGGATTCACGTTCCCACCGATGTAACAGTAGTACGGGCACCCAAACTCTCTTCAACTCTATTCAAGTCAGATGTCTGTCGATACTATTTGAGGACGTTCGGTGTCACGCTGGATTGGTTCAGACTCCTTGGCGCGAAGGGGCTATTTTACCCATTTTCCTGTATTGAAACTGTCGATGCGATTGCGCAGGTCTTAGTCATTATGCCGAGAGAGTCTCTGATGTTAAACATGGGTATGTGCTGATGGAAAATTAATTGGCTTGTGAAATTGGCCTATTATGAATTTCTGCTTCTCTCAAACCACCCAGAAACTTTCAAAAAGACTGGTTCTTCACCTCAGAAAACGACTTGCTGATCTCCCACTAGATGCAGGCTCCAGCGCTCACAGTGCATTGAGATTGTCGCTTTCGAAACAAGAAAGCATGATCGGCGATCATAGCGCACAATCAGCGCAAATCAAGTCGGCATGTCCTCCGAGGCCGTATTTTGATCTCAGGCTGTGGCGGGTGACATGCAATCAACGGGCGGACATCATCATCCGATCGCTTTGGAAGTAAGTCTTAGCTTACCTCTCCACCTTTCCAAACCGAGCAACGCTTAGCGGTGATATCATCTGACCTGATCTCTTCATAATGTACTGATGAGCTTGAGAAACGTCGAACGTTCGTCTCGCGACCCTTTGCTCATCGTCCCGGTTTTTGCTGATCACGTATTTTCGAGGAGGCTCGTTCTTGGCCTGGATCGTGCATCTTGTCAGAAGCGACATTGCTATTGGATTCGGATTCGGACCGTGGGCTACCATGCAGCATCATGGGATCTTAAGGCAGGTCCTGCAGATTGGTATCCGTGTTCGCTCGTCCTGACCATCGGCGGACCCGTTCATTCTTCAATCCAGCCAAAGGGTCAAGTTTTGAACGGACTCTTCATGAATCGGGGTACTGCTGATGTTTCCTTTTTTCGTCCCTTGAATCGCGTGATGACGGGGACTTTCTACTCACCCCGATTCTCCCATGTTGACAGGCAAGAAGAAAAGTCGCCGTGCCATGTGGTGGAGCTCCACTGATGAAGACACTACTGATCGGACCTCTTTGCGGCGGTTCTGTTTCTAACATATCCTTGCGATTTTCAAACTTGCGATACGCTCGGCCTGCTCTCTGTATCTCTTTCAGGTCTCAGCGGAACTGTCCTATCGTCCTATGAATCTACTCTCTATGACGCACAGTAGATCGATGTCTGAACGCCTTGACAAAACGAATTGTGACAGGAATGAAAGGTCTACAGCCGCCTGTCAAGGGGATCTATCACGCAGAGCCCAGGTCAGGTATGTTCCATCTCGCTATGCTTTCTCTTTCCCCGTCGCTGGTCCTCTATGACGCAGGAGTGACGGTACAAATTGTGAACACTACGGTATATAAGGGTGAGCTGCGAGTCAGTTTTCCTCACCAGCCGCCTCCAAGCAGCATCTGTCCGAGAAAACATGTTCGCCCTTCGCCACTTCACTTCTCTCTTGCTCCTCGTCTCCACCGCGTTCGTGGCTGCCAGCCCCACTCCCCTCCCTGAGGCCGGTGCGGTCGCTGTGGTCGAGGAGCGTAACTCCGGCGTCGATGTCGTCGGAATCATCGTCACCCTCCAGGCTTCGGTTGCCGTCGTGCTGCCCCAAATCAGTCGGTTCGCAATGTTGAAAGTGGACCCTTCGAGCTGACTCCGCATTCAGACACTCTCTGCGCCCAGGGACACGCCACGGACCTCACCGTTGGCCCGCTCATCGTTGAGTTGGAAGCCGCAATCGAAATCGCCGTAGTCGCTCTCGGCACGGTTTCGCTCTCCGGCGTAGGGTCGAAATCCCAGTGCGCAGGCTTACTTGCGGAAATCATCAAGGTGCTTTTCATTTTTGAGGTGTTTCTGGCGCGGAACGTGGTTGCTGAGCCTTTTGCCAGGATATCACCTACACTATCGAAGGATGCAAGAGCGCGGGCACCGTGCTTACTCTCGGGACCCTCATCGCTAGTCTGGACCAATCGCTGAAAGTGTTACTGCTTGGTGTCGAGCTTGTCCTCGGGGGCGTGCTCGTTCTCGTGGGAGGACTGTATGTGTCTATTTCCCGGGCCGGCAGCGGATTGTACTGATTTCTGTTCTGCAGAATTGTTGATGTTGTCGTGCTGCTGAAATCCCTTCTGTTCGGTCTGACCTTGGGCTGCCTCGGCCTCTAATTGGATAAACGACTGTAAGATCAATGCCAAGTCCGGTAATCTAAGCCGGGTCGTCTTCTGCTGAACTGTTTACGTATGAAATCTTGTTTGCGTATCTTTGTAATGAACTCATTCTCCTATCGTCACAACTTCGGGAAAACATCCGCTGAGAAAATCGAGCATTCCAAGAGGTGTGGACAGTCTTTAAGCCCTTCGATTAGGGTTTCCTGGAATGTCTCATCTTGTATCACCTGTGACATCAAGTTAGCTGCTGTGCCGCAGGTTTCGCAGTAAACCTCACCTCGATGAGCTTTTCCATCGTCTAGCAAACAATCTGTCAGTGTATAAATCTAAATGAGTCCCAATCAGATCGCACCTCAGTCTCTAAAATTACGGCAAAGATATCGTCCTTTGGATCGCCGAATCCGATGTTACGTATGTGCTGTGACACGGCGTCCGTCTTCTGAAACCACTGCTCTCCGGCTCAGATTGACCAAAACAACAAGCTTTATGTCATTCGGAATACTCACCAGCGAGTGCTGCACCAGATTCGCCCTCGCGATCGGCACGTTCTCCATGATCGAATCCATGAGCTCCTCGAGCTTCGCATGGAGCTCCGGGATGGACATCTCTGGATGGGTCTTGAAGACACCGAACGCGTGGACCCTGGCGTCGGCCTCGGGTATGTGCACCGTCGTGTGCAGATCCGCAGAGAAGACGCATGCGTCCGCAAACAACCCCGATGCTATGGAGGCTAGGAACGGCAAGCTGATTAGCGAGCAGTTCCATCTTTGATGGCCGCCGGAATGATGGGGTCACATGTTTTTCTCAAAATCGGTGAGTGTTCATAGTGAGGGCCTCCAATGGCGTACAACCGGTCGTTTTTTGTGAATCGTTTCTTCGGGAATGTGAGGAAACCAAGTAAGAAGCGGGGTTCAGTTAATCAATGAGCAACAAGCTGTGATACGTAAATTGACTAATGCTGTTCATCAAATGTCGTGCTCAACGGAGTGAGTTTGAAGAATTCGCAGTATCGGGAGCACTTATGCTGAGTGGGGAACTCCTGGAAAGCAGACCGGATATTTCCACCACCGAAGATGCGCTCCTTATCTCCCTGTCAACATGTATCAGTCCAGGTGGTACGCATGAAGAGAGAACGCACGGAGTTGTCATTATCTGAGGATCACTAAGACGACTCGGAGACCCTAAAAATCAAGCACTTATGAGAAATCATTCCATCCTCTGATAGTTGAGCTCACCCTGAAGATCGGACAGAAAGACGTTTCCCCCAGACTTCTCGTACTGAATATGTTGAGTAAAGCAGAGGAATTCGGCGACAGCATAGTTCAGGGAGTCGGAGCAGATGGTCGGAGTCGGTGCTGCAAGATTATTGTGAATAAACTTGATGAACGTCTCGTCCTGATTTTCTCCTGATTTCGTGGTGTCAATAGTATCAAAAACTCGATTGCTGAAGACGGACTTGTTGGCTTGATCAACTCCTCAATCAGGAATGTGCGGCGTAGCGAGGAAGTGTCCTTCACATTGTGGCCAGCTGCACTTGAGTCGTGAATGAGAGCCAGCCCGGCTTCGACAAATCGAATGTTGAACATCTTCAAGTCCGCCGGAGGCTTACCGTTCTTCTTGATGAAGTCTGCAATGAACGCATAACAAAATTCAAGGAGGGAGACGGCCCAGACCAGGATGTTAGCCTCGCGGATGGTCTGGATGTACTCCTGCTGCGGAGCAAATCGCCTTAGACGCTCCTTGTCCTCACTCCACAATTCGAACATCCGCTTTGCTGCCACATGCTGGTTGGGGACACTTCCCAAGATGTTGCCCGTTGACACGATGTTGAGATTCAGCCGTGCATTGTGCGCCGACTTGAAACTGCCAACGCCCAAAGGCTCTTCGGAGGGGACCATGGACAGCGTACCAAACTCAGCTGCTTTGATATCACAGGTGAAGAAGCTCGGATTCTCGAGGAGATCATGAAGATCAACTGGGAGGATGCGATAAAATTCGATGTGCTCAGAGATGTGCAAGGCTATAAGCAGGGTTCAGTAGACAAATAGCGGATAAAATGGTGACACTCACGAGCGTTTCCCGCCTTTTTCAATGACCCTCCCTCGCTGAGCGCCTTCTTCAATCGCTGTTGATCCGGAGAGCGATACTCAGGTGCAGATCGCTTGCGAGAAAGAGACTGCGGTGGCGTAACAGGGCGGAGTTCCTGATGAATCTGATCAGCCTGGTTATTCGAAATCATGGGCAACTCACGTTTGTTCCCCATGACGCTCCAGCAAGATGACCGCCAATCAACGATGATGAATTACCAGGAGCAAGATCGGAGAGCGCGGATGAGCCAAATCTGGTGCGGATCAAGGTTACTGCACTGGCCACTTGTTCGGCATCGAAAGTAGCGGTGGATCCTTCCGTTGAGGAAACATGACTAGGGTTTTGTTGCACTGAGCAAGTTGAGGCAGATGATCGTGTTGAGCTGCGAGTCGTGCGTCGATAACTCCTTAGAGTTGAAGCCTGCTACATCTTAAGTCTAGTCTCGCGTGATTTTGACAAAACCAATATACCTTCCGAGAGGATTTCCTAGTCACCGGTTGTTTCCCATCTACAGTGGCAGATCCGGACTCTGCAGCTTCGGCGATCTGTAAAAATCTTGGGTTCAACTGAAACATGCAAAATGAGACGTCGTTGCATACCTGCATATCATCCAAAAAGTCGGTGAGTCGAAGCCATTCACCAAGATCAATCACCAGTGCCACGGAGATCGGAGCAGGTGATGTGAAAACCTTGATATTTCGATCCTTTTCCGCCTTTGCCCGGCCCGTTTTGAAACATGAAGCATAGTAAAATGGAGCATCAAACAAATCCCCAGTGATCCGCTTCAAGTCGATCCACTTGGCAACGTCACGAACGGTGAAGTTGGTTGTGTCAAACTCAAACCCGTTCTTGGTGTCTCGAAGGATTTGCACCCGGAGCTTTCCGTAGACATTGTCAAACACAGTCTGGATGATTGTTCGTGGTGTAGCACGAGCATCTACTACAACGCCCTCGCTGATGGCCTGAAATTGAACAAATTCAAAAGTCGGTCGTGGACACAAATAAAAATTGGCAGCATACCCCAAACGTTCCGCCCTTGGGCTTGCCCAGGATCTCATACCGCACTCCGATGATAAGAGAAATCGTCTCTGGGGTAGCACCAGCATACGCAGCATGGGCCCATCCCGCCCGAGCGGCAGAATACTGCGCATGGTTTGCGGAATATCCCTTACTAGAGTACACAGGCTGCTGTGGTGGCGGCAGAGGGAGCGCAAAGCCGCCCATATTTGGAAGCGAGATGTGCGGACCTATATGACCCGTGTCATCAGAAACTACATATAGAAACAGTAGATGAACCACGCACCAGTAATGCGAGCTGGAGGACCCATTAATCCAGGAGCAATGGCAACGAGCTGATCGTTGGCCTTTGGTGCACTATCTGGAAAGAGTGATAAATCGCGTCAGGATGGCAAATGGAATTTGAACTCACTGTTCACGCGAGCGTCAATGTTTTGCCGTCGAATGATGGCGGCATCCTGGAGCATGCTGGGTGTTGGCTGAGCCGAAGTGGCTCCTGTTTTATTTTGTTCAGTCAGAAGAAATCCCAAAGAGGGAGGGAAGAAGCTCACCATTGCGAGCAGACACTGTCGAGGAAGACTTGTTGCAATAATACTCGTAACATGGGCAACAGACAGTGCGGTCGGGTAAGTTGGGGTTCTTGTTCCGTACTTTGCGACGAGTCTCGGTGGGTGCAATCCACTGGTTTCTCGACAGTCAGGGCCACGGTCACATGGGATCGGACCATGGGAGGCGCCCTCACCCGTGAAAGATGCTTTGATCGAAGGAGTATAGTCTGACATGACAAGCCGGCGGAAGGACAGGGTTTTTGGACACAGGACAGAGCACTCTTAAAGCAGCATGGTGGCTCAATTCTGTTCCGGCTGACTATTCCGCTGAGTGGCTGAAATTACGAGTTTATTGAGCAATCAAGCAATGAGATGAGAGACTATCGCGACAATATTGAAGGCGGATCAAAACACGATGCACGTGCCGACACGTGCATAATTTTATCCATGATCCCGACCTCCTGCGCCCTCGCGTAGCGCGCCATTTTGCTGCGTTCCTTGCCACGAGCGGCCATGAGGCATGTGTCTCACTCAGCTTTTTAATATTTCCTTTGTCAGATGCTCAAATCCTGAGTCAGACCATCCGATCACCAACGGATCGTAGGAGGAGCTTGGTGTAAGTTCCGGCCCCTCTTTGTAACAGACATGAGATATAAATACTGTCTTGAAATAAGTACCTCCCCACCCTCTTTGCATCGCTCCCTCTCAGTCTGTACCTGTTACACCCTCTGGTACATGTCCAATGAACTCGAGCCCGTTCGACAGTTGAACCAATACAAGCCTGCTCGTCCGTCTCTTGCTGCTGGGCCAGGCTCTCTCTCTCTCTCTGATCACTTATACACAGCATCTGACGAGTCTCTTCGCCCTCATATCGAGAAGTATTGGCGGCAGAATATGAGTGATATCCAGATGCTTGCTCTCCTCAAGAAACACCATATCAATCTGGCTGAGTACGGGCTTGGGTATGTATTCATTGAATCAATGAAGCATGGGGATCTCATTACTGACTTTTTATCAGGATTCGAACGTTTCGAAAGATACGTGAGAGGCTTGGCTTTGTCCGCACCCGAAAGCAGGGCCATACCGTCGAGTCAATTCGTCCACACATCATTAAGCTGCGCGTTACATATCCAAAGGCTGGTGGGCGGGAGATGGTAAACTTGTTGAAGTTCGAGGAGAGAATACTGGTGTCACGGTGTGTTTTTAGAACTTTATTCTTTATTAATACACTCATTCACATGATTCAGGCCAGTTGTAATGCAGTACTTCCACCTCTACGAGGCCCACCAGGTCCGTGAGCGACGGCGCGGACACTTTCGTCGAAAGCGGTTCTGGGCTGCTGGTGCAAACGACTTGTGGGCCATGGACCAGCACGACAAGTGGAAGTACAAATTCGGACTTGCACTTCACTCTGGAATTGATCCATTCCTTGGTCTCATTCACTGGATGAATATCTGGTGGAATAATAGTAACCCTCGCCTTATTCTCAAGTACTACCTGGATGTGATTGAGCGGCTCGGTTGTACGTGTTTCCCTTTTTTTTGCGCTTATTTCTTATCCATTTGAGCGCACAGTCATGCCCCTCGTCATGCAGAGCGATCCGGGAAACGAGAACACCGCCGTTGCCAATGGACACACTCTGATCCGCCACCATCAAGATCCCAACCTTCGAGGCAAGCTTCAGCACCGATGGATGCGGGAGAAAAAGAACGTTACATCAGAGATTACGTGGAGTCAGATGCGCCGGCGTTTTACGCCTGGTTTTGAGAATTTGCTCGATGTTGGAATTCATGAAGGTTGGTATGATCCCCATATTCTCCTTGAAGCGTACGTGTTCCATGAGCGCTTCCAAACACTTATTCTATCCATTCAGCCTCGTCTTTCGCTGGGTTTTCATTCCCTGGCTTCAGGCCGAACTCGACGCATATCAGCACCGCATCAACAACACTCGCAAACGCCACGATCGCAACAAGATTCTACCTAACGGTGTTCCAATGCACATGTTCGAGTATCCCGAAGACTATGCTATTCTAGATTTCAAGGTAACACTTTACAATGTTTGAGCTGGTGCTGAGTCTAACCTGTCGCAGATCAAAGTTGATCCGGCTGCAATTTCATGGTACGTAAATTGTATGCGCCGCCCACCCTTCAGATCTTCGAATTGGTTCCACCTGACTTCAACATCCTCATCTCCGGTTTTTATTCCAACATTGGCTCACCCTCTGTTGACCGGGAGAGCTGCTGGGACATTTACCTCCTGCTACTGTCGAAGTTCCGCGAGCTTGATCAGATTCACGACGTGGACCTAAGCGCGGACGAGAAATGGGGCTACACACTCACTCAGCTGCTGATGAGTACAAGGGTGAGGTCGAGCTTCTTCCTGGTCTCCAGAGCTTCGTGGTGGAGATGGTGTTGTTGGAGAGGATGGCGTCTATTATATGGGTGGCGTGAACGGCGGGAATGGACTTGGTATGTGTCCAGTGCTCTTATAGATTACTCTGATGGGTGCGTTCAGATGACGGACATCAGGCTCAGCTCAATGCTATGATAAACGACGTTGAGCCGGATGTGGGAGGCAATGATATTGAGGGCGATGACGAGTTGTTCGCGTGGTTTTCAGATGAAGAGAGTCCCGAGGACTTTAATAATGCAGACATGTGGTAGCTCAATCTGTGCTCATGACAGCCCGTTCTCTCCTTATCGATGACGAGCAGTGATGCGCCCTAGCCCTGAAATCATCGATCACGTGCACGAAAGATCCAATGGATTTGTCAGCGAGCTCGTCAAGGTTGTTGCACGTGATCATTTGATCAATCTATCACGTGCACTGAAAGATCTCAATGGATTTGTCAGCGAGCTCATCAAGGTTGTTTCACGTGATCATTCTGATCATCACTGGATGCCTCCCGATACTTGGTTTCCTCACATTCCCGAAGAAACGATTCACAAAAAACGACCGGTTGTACGCCATTGGAGGCCCTCACTATGAACACTCACCGATTTTGAGAAAAACATGTGACCCCATCATTCCGGCGGCCATCAAAGATGGAACTGCTCGCTAATCAGCTTGCCGTTCCTAGCCTCCATACGATGCGGTGGCGGCGGCAACCATGTCTTGCGTCGACGGGTGGCTCGTGAGCTTCTCGCAGTGCTCATGACTCTGTTCGGAAGAGTGAGATTCTCCCTCGCGGCGAATCTCGGAATGAATTTACGTGCGCGTGGGTGATCAGGATTGCGCATTGCTGCGGCGCAGGGAGACCCAAGTCGGTGATGCACCCATCAAGCTTGTCGTTTTGGAGGATCTATAGGTGACATCGGTTTCCACAGCGGAGTGTTCGGACCGGTACATACCAGCTCAAAGGTGGCCCAATTTTCCTGCACAACCGGGAGCTGAGCCATCGTGTCCATGAATTGGTTGAGTTGCGCATCGAAGTCGACCTTGGAGACGCCCGGAGGTAGTTTGTAGAGACAGAAACTGGTGCCGTTTGTTCAAGTTTGGCTGAAGATTGCATGATATCGCTGTCTGCTGGGTGATGCTGGATTGGGTTCAAGGAGCAGCCCTTTTATACTGTGTCGGAGCTCGGTTTACCTCAGGACATGTCTGGATTCGGATCTGACGTTGCTGTGTGTTGCTGATCGCCTCCTGGTTCATGAATCAGAGTCAAGGAGGAGCAGAAATATATCTAGAACACGTCAACCTAATTTGGATACTTCGGTTCGCTAGAGGAATCCCTAAATTTGGACTTCAACCCGAGCCACGTGACATATTAGATGCACGAAGAATGGTCAATAGAAGCCAATACTTGCCGAAAGTTTGCATAAAGAAAGTTCAAGGTTAAGGAGGTGCGCAAATCTAGATCAGAGGATCCTACCAAGTCCCCCGCTCCGGTATCACCCAATGCAACTGTGGATTCTGCGCCTGGTAGCGTTCGGCTCGCTGGGCAACGTGAGACGTGTTCGTATTCAAAAAATGCGTCATTGAGGGCATCTAGTCTATATAATTTCTGGAACCGATTTCTCATGTTCGGAAATACCCTTCTCCGCTTACTTTTATTTTCTTTGTCCAATGCACCAGTGGTTTGTGAAACATCACGTGATTGAATCTCGGGTCAAACCGGGAAAGCAGACTGCTTTTCGAGGTCTTGTCCCGCTTGCCTTTTGGTCTCCACTCCCCCAAAAGTTGACCCTGCCACAATCTTGCCTTGCTTAGCCGACGAAAATGTCTCACATGCGCTCACATGCACGGGCCTCACCATTATCGGCTATTCGCTCATGTCCCGCTCCTGCTGTCTTAGACACACACCTCTTATCCGCCGTATAAACGGTGCGGCCGCACTTGCGCGTCTTAACACTTACTGAACACCCGCATTTCAATTGCCCCCCAGTGAATCAAACTAACGACTGCTCAAGAAGATGAAGTTTATCCCCGCATCGATTCCGCTCGCGATGGCTGTAGCGACCGTCGCTCTCCCCTGTGACGTCCTCTGAGCCCTCGAATCAAGGGCTCGCATCCCTAGCCTCGGCCGATGCCGTTGCATACCTCTCTTACTCCGCCTCTAAGACGCCCTCTTCGGTCACTGGTTCACGTCCCGTGCCCTCTGGATCCGCTGCGGCAGCGAGCGACATGGCGACAAGGAGTTTAGTAATGGACGTGGCGTGGGGTGTCACACGGCTAGTGAATGTGATGAATGTGCTGCCCAATGTGGCCTACTCCCGGGCGGAGCTCAAGTGAGCGTGCTTCTTGTCGTCGTGGTTCTGAATCGGGTCGCTGATCTCCTGCCGCAGACGATCATAGTCAAGCTCTTACTTCTCGTCGCGGAGCTATCGAGCAGCATGACCGGACTGGTGCGTATCGTGCCTGGCTGCTTCTCGCTTCACGTTCTGACCAATCAGCAGCCATCTCGCGCACTTACCCCAGACGAGGTATTGGGCATAAACGTAGCTTTGCGAACGCTGCAGAACTCGCTCACGCAACTGCTGTTCGCAAGCCCGTCGATCCGACACCGGTTCTCGCGACATTAAAGCCGCTCTCGGGTCCTCTTAGTGTGAGCCCGCCTCGAATTCCTCCGAGTGAGATAGCTACTAACCGACATCGGCCGTTTCCAGCAAGTTGCCACAGTACTTGGCTACTCGGGCCCGGCTTCCACTATCTCAAACGTTCTCGATCGGCTCCCAGTATGATGCAGTTCATAACGAATGAGATCCTGATTTGTACGACGACGACGGAGATTCATGTTCGAGTTGGTGGTGTGCGTGGTATCTTGCCCATGTACTTTCTCGCATTCAGCGTGCTTGGTGACTTGTATGATAGCGATTCAAGTTTAGTGATACATACAAGAGTCAGCCTACGATAGTGCTGTGTCTAAATCGGCATCCAAAGTCGGGTCCCAGGGGATTACAGAACATTTACATGCTCGACGTCGAGATCAGATGTATTGTTGAATGATGTAGCGTATGAGTGCGGGAAGCGCGAATAGCGTGGTATCCGATTGTACCTCGCTGGCCGGAACGTTGACGTTAAGCGTATGACCCGTTTACCTTTGTTGAGGCGAGACTGCTCAAGGCTGTTTTGAAGCGCCTCAAGATCCCAGCGGCTAAGAAAAATCTCGTGTAGCGCTTGCTGTGGTTCCAGAACGACAACACCGACGAGCACGTCGCTGCGTTGGGCTTCCGAAGCGGAGGCGAGGGCTTTTCGTAGCCATGATTGAACTGAGGTGAGACTTCATTGCACATGATGGGATCATATGCTGATGCGCGATATTCAAATTTTGAGGATCCAATCGTGTTCAGGATGGATCCCCTAGTCAAACCAATGATCGTCGAAAGGTTCAGGGCCTTCCCAAATTGTTGGAGCTGCTCAATCTTCTGCGCTGATGTCGTTGCACGCTTGTAGCTTTAGCAACCAGCGAAAAAAATCGATGTCTCATCCGTCTCGTTGCAATCTCTTACTCAACATGACCTGGTACAAGTTCCCCATGATCGGCCAGATTCGCCGTAAAACACATCAATCGTGCTACTTCTTGGTGCTTTGAGAAGTGTATGGGGGCGTTCCGATCTCATCCCGAAGCACATTTGCGCAGAAGTGAGTTCACAGGTTAAGCTTGATAAGGGAGATTTTTTTTGCTGGATTCGGCGAGCAGGCCATATCGAGCCTGGACAGTTTTATCCGGGCACAGTTTGAACCCCAACATTGAGGTTGCACTCGGGCATCGTGGTCCCCTTCATACGAAGGGATGCAAACACCCCAAGCCTCCCGGACAGAGCTTGGCAGTGATGATAACAGGCTGCCGCAGCGAGACGGTGCAACAAATTCTATGAGAGAAGCCTCACGTGCGGCACAAGCGATTCCCAAGGAGCCATCACACAAGCCTTAGTTCAAACTTCGACATGTGGGAGTGGCGATCGAGTGCGGGATATCGGGAAATGATCTGGTGACAAAGATGCCATGATAGCTGGTGGCAAATTGTGAGGCCACCGTCCCCCATTCTGGACGTGATGGGAGGTGGAGCAGCAGTGACATGCCGCTGTTGCCGGAGGGTGGGACCGGTGGGCAAGTGGGGCCCGCTGTGCAATTGGTTGATGTTCCATGCAGTTCAAGTTCATTTTCTCTTGTCTACTACCATGAATACTATTTTTTCAACGATCTTGAACTGCCCGTGTTGTCTTACCATCATGTATAGTACCTCTTGATTATGCCCGATGAGATTCCGACGCCTACCTCACAAGAATACCTGGGAAAGGTTTGAGTCACAGCTGCCCGGCGACGGCGGCATGTCACTACTGCTCCACCTCCCATCACGTCGAGAATGGGGGACGGCGGCCGCGCAATTTGCAACCAGCCGGAACGATGGTAGTAATACTTAACGCATCTCTCTTTCTCCTCCCATAATCACAAAGCTCGGATTCTCTCCATACGGGATGCGGCCTGTCCTCGGATCAACATGCACAGAAGACTGAGGCATACATACCTACCTGCCAAGCCGGAGAGTCAAACCTGCTCACTGAACGTCCCAGCTGATAACCACATAGTGGCCTTTGCCTCGACGGGCTTGAAGCGTAAAAGTCGCACACTCGAATTGACCCCATATGACCACTACGTTTTAACAGCGGACAAAGACAAAGATGAAACACACACATTGTATAACGTCATGGACTGTGCCGTTTATATCAGCTAATCGTACAAGTATATGCTCAGGTCGAGCAGGACAAGATGGAGGTCAATTTGCTAAGAACGATCGCCTGAGTCGCGGCTGGCGCATCCCCCTTGTTCGAGGCCTCCATCACGCTGACACTAACGAAACATCCCGATTTGGCCACGACGCTGGATTCAGTAGGCAGGTGCGTAGACCCACACGTCTGGACATCCGTCGCGCTGCTGTCCGCGTTAATGCGCGTAAGCACGAACTTGAACGCCGAGGCAGTCGGGCACGAGGCGGAGAACGTCGGGTAGTTGACGTTCAGGACGATTCCGGCGGGCAGGATGGGGGCTCCCGCCGCAAAAAAGAGGCGAGAGGACTTTCGTGGTGAGTTGGGAGTAAACGATGGCGGCGCGCGAGTCTGTCGAGTTCGGCGAGGTGGTCAACGTGGTGAACGAAATCTGATCGCCCGTCGCGGCAGAGAAGGCTGCGGCAGGGATTCCCTCCTTCGCGGCTTCGGTGGCGGCCCCACTGGTGGATGAGTGATGGTTGGAGGGAATCCTGGACTGGCACTCACACTGTGCCAGAGACCAAAACCGTGCTTCCGAGATTATACCACGGTATCCATGACTCATGTCACATAAGAACCCAATTTGACTCACTTCCGACGTTTGGTCCGCTGACAACGAAGACGGGCTTCGCGCCGCCGAAGAACTTAGGTCCCAGCGTCTGGATACCAAATTTCGCAGAATCAACTGACCGCCGGTGTGAGTAACATGCAGACGCAATGCGATCAACGCACCAGGGAAGCCGTTGACCCAATTCAGGCGAGAATTCGTCGCGTTGAAACCCTCCGCGGGGGACCCAGTCGGGCACGTGTTGAACTCGCACGGCTGTGTGAGCTTTGTCGGAGTCGTCGTGGACGAACCGGTGCCAGATTTATTGATCGCCGGGCAGACAAGACGACCTGGGGAGCATGTGAGTGGGAGAATACCAGGAGACCGGATGGCGTAATGCCGACGTTGTAACCGGCGGCGTTGAGGGCATCGTTCTGTGCGCGAACCAGAGCCACGGCCCATCCTAGACTTCTCATCAGCATCTGCGGAATCATCCACTCTTCTTGTGCCACACCGTCGTCATTCGTGAGTATATGTTCTGCGCAGATGCAAGAACGACGAAACTAGCGAGGTAGATTGCGTTGAAAGAGATCATCTGGGACTTGGCTTTGGAGAAGGTTCGGGTTCAGCTTGTTTCACGTAGCCCCCGCGTCGCTCTTATAGACATCGTGCAAAGGATGGGAAGGCAGATGCAACAGTCTTTCGTGGGTAGAAGTAACGCACGTTCAAACATGCAACACATGTAAGACTGGGATTTTTAGACGAGACTTGGGGAGGGTGTGAACGGAGCATGTGGGAGTCCTCTCTATTTCATCTCACAGACAAAGGTCGGTCGTTGATGCGACGGCAGCGTCAGGAGATATGATTGAGGCGGGATCCGAACCGTGCGCCTAAAGCCTCGAGGATGATTGCCGCAAGCGAGCAAAAGAAAGGACGGACGAGCAGGAGGATTTGCATTCAAGTGCGACATCGTACGGCGCCTCACGAAGAGCCGGATCGTGCTGGGAAAGGATGAGTACTCTTGTCTGCAAGAAGTGCACAGCAGACCATGCGCCAAGGCCCCACGCGACGAGCGGTAGACACACATGGCTGAAACGTGACCGCGGACACACTTGCCTTCGTGCTCACACGCCATCTCTGACGGCCGTGACGCCCTTCCTTAGCTAAAGTTTAGGCTAGCCTCAATCTCACG